TATTGTGCGTGTACTGTCAAATCAGATCTGACTGGTACAGGAGGGAAATTTTCCCTCCTTCTCCGGCAGAGAGCATCTGGTGGATTTGAATCACGCACCTCTGGGATTGCTTCTTGCCACTAGGCCACCAGAGCTCCCCCTACAGAACATCCAAACCTTAATTCCCACGTTTAACATATAGACTCCCATTCCTCACCGCTTTCTCTGTCTCACAGACCCTATACCAGTCTTCTAGTTCTTTCAGGTAAAATCTGTGAAATCAGCCCTCTTTCCCCCCTCTCATTTGTAAAGCTATATTCTACATACACACTTGTCTTTTTCCCTCATTGCTTTTAAGTTTTGTTTAAATTCACAATCTCAATGAGATGTAACCTGCTCTATATAATGCATCCTGGTGACTTGACTCCCACATTCTGCTCTGACTCCTCCTCCCACATAAGCAATTAGTACTTTCTAACATCCCATATATATTTGTTTATTAATTTGTTCCTTTTCCTACCTCTCCTCCATTTGTGGATGATACCCTTAATCTCATCCCCTAATCTCTTAATCACTGTGCTTGGAGAAGGACATCATGCTGGTGAAGGATGTGTGGCTGCAAAAGAGAGGATGACTCTTGACCAGGTGGATTGGCCTGGTGACTGAAGCAATGGGCTTTAGAATGTCAGGGATAGTGAGGATGGTACAATATAGGACAGGGTTCAGATCGATATGAGTCAGATCATACAGTCAGCACCTAACAACAATAACAACCTCCATTTGTCAGTTAAAACTGAGAAGCAAGGATTACCTCTTCTGTCCCTAGATGTAACTCAAATATCTACAATAGTGCTCTGTTAAAATCTGTTAAATGCATGAGTCATGAGCCAGCTACCTTTCTGGGTCTCACCTTTTCCTTCTGTAAAATGAGGCCACATTTCCATCTCTGACATTTAGTGATTCTGCAGTAAATTATTCTTTGCATGTTTTATTTTAAACTATGACTAGGTAGCTGAGTGGTAAGAAGCTGCATTGCAAACTTGAAGGTATGTGGTTCAAATCCATGCACCACCTGTTTCATGAAAGAATGGACAATTTCCTTCTATGCAATTAACTTCCTCTGAAAACCCAGCTATGAGTCAGTCCCAACTCTATGTGACACAACAATAACAGGTAGCTCTGGTGGCCCATTTATGCTGCTAAACCAAAGTTCATGCCTCTCTAATGGTTCAAATTCACCACTCGGTGGGAGAAAGGTGAGCAATTTTATTTACAGTCTTGAAAACCTAATGGAATGTCAGTTATGAGTTGGCAATGAGTTTGAGTTAAATCTTGACTGAAACATTACAAAATCATTGGCATAGTCTCTTCATTTTTTTCAATGTAAGCTTAGTTAAAAGGAGAAAATATATGTCATTTTATCTAGACTTAGATTTGAAAAGATGGTTGTCAGCTTGCATTTACTTATGACTTATTCTCCTGGTCACGTAAAAAAAGCAATTATTCTTTCCAATTTTATGCTGATCATTTCTTTGTCTTTTAAGAAAATACAGTTTTAGGACCTAAGTAAGTTGAACTAAATTGTTTAACTTTGACTCTTGGAGGATTTTGTTAAGAAACATAAAACTATGTTGGTGATCCAACAGAGTGTGGAAGTTACTGGACAATATCACTAATAACACAAACAAGCAAGATCCTGCTGAAGATTATCTAAAAATTATTGAACAGTACATTAACAGAGAACTACCAGAAATACAAGTGGGGTTTAGAAGAGGCTGTGATACTAGAGACATTGTTGCCGATATTAGATGGATCTTGGCTGAAAGCAGAGAGTATCAGAAGAATATGTATCTGTTTCATTGACTACGCAAAGGCATCTGGCTCTTTGGATCACAACAAATTGTGGCTATCCCAGAACACTTGGTCGTGCTTGTGTGAAACCTGTACTTGGACCAGGAGGCAATCGTCAGAACAGAGCAAGGAAACACTGCACAGTTCAAAATCAGGGAGTGCATGAGGGATGTATCCCATCTCCATTCTTTTTTAATCTCATTCGGGAGGCTGAACTTTATGAAGAGGAGTGTGGCATCAGGATTGGAGGAAGACTCATCAACAACCTCCATTATTCAGATGAAACAACCTAGCTTGCCAAAACTGAGGTGGACCTGAAGTGTTTGCTGTAGAAGTTCAAAAACAAGTCTTCAATGTGGATTTATGCTTAACATCAAGAAGACAAAAATTCTCACCACTGGATCAATTGGCAGCACCATGATGAAGAGCTTGAGGTTGTTAATTTCAGTTTACTTCACAATCAACACTCAGCACCAGCAGTTAGGAAATCAAAAGATGAATAGCATTGGGGAAGTCTGCTGTCAGGGACCTCTTCAAAGTGCTAAAAAGCAATGATGGCAGTCTGGAAACCAAGATGTCGCTGATACAGAAAATGGTCTTCACAATTACCTGCTATATATCAGAGAACTGGACAAGGATGATAGAAAAAGAATTGATGCCTTTGATTCGTGGTCCTGGAGAAGAATATTGAACATACCATGGACCACCAGGAGAACAAATAGGTCTGTTTGGGAGAGGGTGAAACCATGTTTCTCCTTGAAGACAAGGATTTTTTTATTTTATTTTAATTTATTTATT